CCAGATGACTTTATAAGTCAGATTTTACTGTCCTAATTAAATCATAAAAAATCAAGGCATGATCATATTTTATTTTGGTAAAATAAGTGTAATCTAGAGGCCTTTGCCTTTCATATAAGCCACTTCTGATACCAAATGATCAACTAGAAGTCAAGTTATTATTTGCTGTACCGAAAACCTGGATAGGCGACAAGCCTTGTCAGGTGGTGTATATATTATTAAAATTTATGTTCAAAGGAATTATTTTAGCTTCTTTAAATTCCATTACATGTTGCACTTCCATGTATAAAGTAAAATAGGATTCTTAAGGTCAAATTTGATTTGAGCACAAGCCTGGCAATTACCCCTGGTGTGAGTATTTCAGAAACTGTTGATCTACTTCGATTTTCACACATAACCAACTCCAAAGTTTGCAGAAAAAAAAGAAAACAGTGAGCAGCAGTTCTGTGGTCCAAAATGCCTTTTTGATGCCAGAGCAAAGAGGAAAACTGCCAGAATAGTTTGAGCATACAGACACACAACATTAACTTAAATAACCACTGCAGAAGAGCATCTCTGAACACACAATTCATAAAAACGTTCAAAAAAGATGAGCAACAGCAGCAGAGGAGCTGAGGTGCTGTTTACCTGTTGTCATTTGGAAACACTGGTGTTCTGTTTCAGTATAGACTGACCGAAGCACAACTTGGATGGAAAATGGATGGACAGCTTTTTACGGTCTCTAACTGCTTTTTTACTATTGGGTATAATTTCCTGATTCATTAAGCCCCTCTCATAGGACCACTGCGCAAGTAGTAGACTCCAATTACAAATTCTGGCAAAATATGTGCATACCCAAGCAGGAATGGTCAAGCATCATGCTTTTAGGCTATACAGCTTGGATGGAGATCATTTTTTTGAAACACAGAAGCGTTTTCAAGTGTGCCTGAGGCTACAGTTCACACTGGCTCAACACAATTGGACTATAGAAGATTGCGGAAAGATTGTCTGGTCTGAAGACTCTCAATTTCTGCTGCAACTTTGAGATGTCAGGGTTAGAATTTAGTGCACACAACATGAAAACATGGGTCCCTCATAACGTTTGTCAACTATTCAAGCTGCTGGTGGTGTAATAGTGTGGCGAGCATTTTCCTGGCACACTTTGGTCCCATTATTTCCAATTGTTGCTCTGCAGTGACTATCGTGAGGTTGCTATGCTTCCAGCAAAATAAAAAAACACATCCCAAATCTTTCTTGGACATGGTGAAAAATTCACTATACTCAAAATGGCCTCCACACTCACCAGAAACCAATCCAACATAAAGCACCTTTGGGGTGAATTTAAAGATTCACATAATAGATGTGCAGCAAACAAGTCTGCAGCAACTGGGTGATTCTATCATGTCAATACGAAGCAAAATCTCTGAAATGTTTCCAGAGCCTTCTTAAATCTAGGACACAAAGAACTCATGCTGCTCTAAATGCAAAAGAGGGTCCAACTCATTGCTACAAAATGTAAGTCAGGGAGTGCTTATACATATACATATATACATGATATTTTCACATCCTCACACAGCGGAATGCAATACGCAATGCAAAATTTCATCATTATGAGCCAGAGCCTGCAATAAATAATATAGAGCGAGAGAGGGAAAGAGAGAGATAGAGATAGATGAACAGCGAGACTAAAGCACAGGAACACAACAGAAGGGTTTTGTAGGCTGTTTTATATTGATTTAGTGTGGTAATCCCTGTTCTCTAAATAAATCAGTACCTCGCAAAATCAAATAAACTCTTTTAAAAGGCAGCTCTGGTTCTGCATGACTACTCCTGGTGCAGCGAGGAGTCGGGACTGCGTGAGATAACAGGCTATCAGCAGTACGCACTGGTACCTCATCACACCCAATAACCTACCCATCACGGATTACCCAGAATCCATCAGCGCTGCTCAGCACAGCTACGGGTCAATAATGACTCCTTTTAGGCATCAAGCACTGTGAGGTACATCATTTCACCTGGTGCTTGTTAAATATAGGTTATTCACGGCTTACTTTAAAGCATTGGTCTTAAAATCATTCCTGGAGGGCCACAGCTCTGCAGATTTGTTCAGAGATATAACTTATTTATCTCAGGAGTTTTCCTAAATTAGACGGTGAAAGTAAATGTTACCATGAAAAGGCATAAAATTTTTTTTTTTTTTAAATTACTGTCATCATGGCAAAGATGAAATAAATCAATTATTACAAATAAGTTTTAAAAACTATTTTACTTAGAAATGTGCTGAAACAATCTTCCCTCCATTAAACAGAAATTGGAGGGGGGGGGGGGGTATATACTTAGAAGGGAAAAAACAATACATCATTGCATGAATGCTGTAATGTTTAAATAACTTTGAGTTATAAATGTGTGAAGGTCATGTGACTATCAGGAAGACTGCAGCATCTCATTTCTCACAGGATTCTATCTCTCTAATAGATCTCACTATTCTCGTGGTCTCTCGAGATTGTTCTTCTCTGCGTTCCTGGAACTGAGGAACTGCCGTAGTCTAGAACATCTTGATTTTTAGGATTAGCTGTGTTTGATTATGGTCGGAGCAAAACTGTGCAAAGCTGCAGCTCTCCAGGAATTGAGTTTGAGACCCATGAAAAACTCTAGTCTTAAAAGCTGGTTGGACAACATTGTTCCAAAGGGATAAAAATATTCAATTCAGTAAATAACTGTGAATACTGTAAATAATGAATACTGCAGCAGGCACTGAAAAAAGGTTCTGATTTCATTTTAAAATATATAAATATAAAATAAAATAAATTTGTATCAGCATATATTTCAGGGTTTGCATTCAAAAATAAACTAAAAAATTTAATTTAAAAAAATGATTAAAACAATTTAAAAATAAATAAAAACATTAATTTATTGCTTATTCTGCAGGGTCTATTTTATCTGGTGGAAAATAAAATAACATAATATTTTGATACTGTAAACATGCAATGGGCTTTGTATTCTGATCTAGAATATTAATATTTTTTTTTTTTATTTATTTTATTACTTATATTATTTGTATTATATTATAAAAATTATATAATAAATAAAAATCACCAATTTGGTGTCACTCAAAATCAACATTTTAGTATTTAGATTTTAAAATAAGCTCAATATATAACGCTTTCTACTTTCCTGTACAGAAAAAAACAGTAATAATTGGGCTTATGTGACTATACACATTTTATTGAAGAATTTTTCTTGTATTATTAATGTATTCATAAATAAAATGTTAATTAAAACATTTGACTGAGAACACCTGCAATATTCATTCATTCAATTATTTTCTTTTCGGCTTAGTCCCTTTATTAATCTGGGTTTGCCACAGCGAAATGAACCGCCAACACAGCCAATCTTCTACACAGCGGGTGCCTTTCCAGCAGCAACCCATCACTAGAAAACATCCATACCCTCTCATTCACACACATACACTACGGACAATTTAGCGTCCCCAATTCACCAATAGCACATGTGTTTGGTTTTGTGAGGAAAACCAGAGCACCCGTAGGAAACCCACGTGTACATTGCATAGGAAGAACATGCAAACTCCACACAGAGACGCCAACTGACTCAGCCGAAACTTAAACCAGCGACCACCGTCTTGTTGTGAGGCGACATCACTACCCACTGCGCCACTGTGCTGCACTTACTTTAAATTATTGTATACAATGAAAAACTCTAGTCTTAAAAGCTGATTGGTCAACACAGTGTTCCAAACATGTAAAATATACAATACAGTAAACAACTGTGAATACTGCAGCAGCGACTGAAAAGGGTTCAGATATCATTTCAAAAATATATATTTAAAACCTTGATATATATCCTGAACCATTCAAGCCACTGGCTACGCATGTAAAGCTACGCATTGATAAATTTGCTCTTCAGTGTTTGGACTCTCAGTAATGATTTCAAACCACACTGAACTGAGCTAAACTGAACTGAACTTAAACACTAAAAACTGAACTACCCTGATCCAGTTACTATGACCATTTATGTAAAGCTGCTTTGACACAATCTACATTGTAAAAGCGCTATACAAATAAAGCTGAATTGAATTGAAAATACATTTGTACAGCAGCCTGTATGTCAGGGTCTGTCTTCTCAGAGGAAAATAAAACATAATAAAATAAAATATTAATTTCTTCCTTATTCACTAGGGTCTGTTATCTGGTGGAAAATAAAATAAAATATAATATTTTTATACTTTTTATGTGCAATTGACTTTATGTTCTAATGGAATAAAATATATACAATAAATAAATTCAGCAATTGCTAAAGGTGTCATACAAAATCTATTGTTTTCAGTAACTGGGTGGGTAAAGAGCATTCAGCAGTATTAAGAATGTAACATGACCTCAATGTATAACGCTTTCTGCTTTCCAATGCAGAATAAAACAGAGCGTCTGTACACTGAACTTATTATCTGAACTTATTATCAAATGATTCATAAATAAAATGGTAATTAAAACATTTGACTGAGAACACCTGCAACATTACAAATAGCAATTTCATTTGAATAATATATTTATATATGACTAAAACCTTAAGCAAAAGTACATCAGATTTGTGTTTTCTATAATAAACAATAGGTCACTACATTGTGAATATTGTAATTGTGGAGCACATCCTGCAGCCTTATTGCAAGCATTTTCTGCAACACTGTTGCAAGATTTCAGGCAAGAAACAACAAACAAACTAAAAAAAAAAAATCTGAATGACCACGAATGTGTCAAGCTCAAAGCTCCTGGACTACATGGTCATAAATTCTGTTTGTGTGCCGACAGCCAAAGACCGACAACATCTTCAGTTCCTTTCACACCAGGCAACAAAGACCCCGAGTGCAGAGCTGCTCCAGTACAGGTGACAGAGAGAAAGAGAGAAAGAGAATCTGGGAAATAAGATATGAGGGAAGCAGGAAAGCTAGGTGGGAGGGTGAAGCGATCACCTATAAGTGCAAAAGAGAGAGAGAGGCTGAGGGAGAGAGAGAGAGAGAGAGATGAGAGCTGGCTGGTGAATATTGGCTGGTATAGCAGAAAGAGGAGGGGTCTGCTGTAAAGCTGTAATGGGCTCCAGCTTGTGCAGTGGTGCCGATCCTCACGCTTCCTCCAAGCCAGCAGCTTTTCCTCTCATTGCAGACGCACATGTACACACGCTGGGCTGGCGGTGATCCAGAACAGCCTTCAGTCATTTGCAAACGTATTTTTAGATTCACCGTATCACTGAATGACTCTTTTTTTTTGGAGACGTACGGCACCGGTTCATTCATCTTCAAACGCTCAAGCAAGCTGGATTACATCCAAAATCTCCAGGCACGAGGAGCAGAAACAGGGCAGTGGACTAATATGCACTTTTTTATCCTGAGGCAGAACCGGCATCCAGTTCATCCCCTGCTGAAGATCAGATACTTCCAGACTCAATCATCCTTCCGTCATTCTGTCCTTCTAGACGGATTTGGAGAAGGACGTCTGTTGAGGGAGAGAGAGGCTGTTTCTGACAGGATCTGACAGGTGCACTTGCTTATTCATTCTCTGCCATGAACACACAGCTGGAAATCCAGAAAGAAAGGAAGAGGGCAGGTTTGATGTGATCTGTGAGCGACAGACTCTTATCTGCAAAGTGAGCACAAATGAGAGGTGGGATTACATCCCCACTTTATAGAGATGATGACACAGTCATAGATAAATACATAGAGGTGTCAAATACAGCACAGTGTGGAGGAGGAATGTGAAATTAGGCATGCTATAGTGAAGGCTAATGGATGGCTAAAGGCATCCGCATTGTAATTGCGAGAATGCTTTATTGCAGGGGATGGAAATACTCAACAAGTCAATACTGCAACACATTTGAAAGCGCTTCAAATAGCATGACATGTTGCTGTATGTAAATGAAGTGAACGGGCTCTCTAATAATAGAAGCAGAGTGCGAAGGAAGAGCTCTCTCGGGGGAATACGGAGTGGCGGGAAGTAAACATTTGTTTATTGCATCTTTTATTTAATAATTCATGTCTCCGTCTACGAACTTCAGCGGAGGCACCAGGGAGTTTACATTGAGCAGATCTTCGCTTTGATTATACTGTTCAGATATCTGCAAATTTAATCCTGTCACATTGTAAAGGGGCTCGCTGCTCGTTTCGAGACTTCGAGGATATGAAATACTATGTGTCTAATGTAATATTATCCCATTTACGTCATCTTAATTCAGAAGTTTCCAAGCCGGTACCCTGAACTAGCTTCATTGGGTGTGAATTTAACACACAGACATCAGAAGCTTAGCTCATCAGCGATCAAACCTTGACTTTGTCACGGCTGGATGCCGCAGCATCTCTGATCCCGTATCCCGGGTTGGACCTCAATTAAAACAGCAGCCGGAGCCTGAATGAGGGAAGCTGACAACGAAAAGAACATCAAAAGCCCTTTCATGGAGTGCAGAGTCTTAACCTCTGATCTCAGGAAGGGATTACTGTAATTGGACAGCAGGGATCGACACCTACGTCGGAGAATAAGGAAGCGGAGAGCATCGAGGAATCGAACGAACCCTCTCAGAAAACTATAGTCAGGATGGGCTGCAACATGTGTGTTGTGAACAGGCCGGAGGAGCAGTACCGGATCATGTTTCAGGTGAGAATTCAAACATAACTACTTAAACTGTAGTGGCAAACTGAAACGCTTCATAATGCTAATGATAGTCACTGCTATTCAAATTATTTTTTAATGACAGAAATGAATACTTTTTATTAGCCAAAGATGCATTAAACTCACTAAAAGTAACAGAAAAGACATCGGGGTTCACACAATTTTTTTAGCCCACAACCCCCAAAACAACAATGCCAGTGACTCAGAACCCCCACTATTTTCAGATGTGGTTATAAACATACAAATGTTGAATTCAATGGCTCACACACACACACACACACACACACACACACAAAAATGTTGTTTAATTTAATATTAACCTCACCTAATGAGACTGATCGGCACAATTTTTACAGAGGGTTAATTTTGGAGACCACCTGTGTTTATTTTTTGGGTATTTGATTGCCATAAAGGTGTCAAAAAGTTTAGGCTGGTGCCATAAAATCAATCTGTTGCAAATGACATGCTTGCTGTGGGGATAATCTAATGTAAAAAAACCTCAGGAAAATTTTTTTTTAAACTGATGGCTTTTTATTTGCATGTTGTATTTTTAGTGTAACCATTTTTATATTCTGTAGGTTATGGATAAAATATAGTAAATGGTATAGTTTATTAAAATGTATTCGATTTTTGAAAATCACCAAGCAACTCCCTCTCGTTGTTCCGCGACCCCCACATTGGAAACCACTTAACTAGATCACGAGAAGACGAGAGATGACAAAAACTTTAACCAGATCTACAGGCAGGCCTTTTCTGACATTTTAAACTAATATTATTAGATGAGCTTGCGTAACTAGCATTTTACATGACAAGAGATGCGTCGCAGTGGCGCAGTAGGTAGTGCTGTCGCCTCACAGCAAGAAGGTCACTAGTTCGAGCCTCGGCTGGCTCAGTTGGCATTTTTGTATGGAGTTTGCATGTTCTCCCTGCGTTCGCGTGGATTTCCTCTGGGTGCTCTGGTTACCCCCACAGTGCGAAGACATGCGGTACAGGAGAGTTGGGTAAGCTAAATTGTTCGTAGTGTATGAGTGTGTGTGGATGTTTCCTAGAGATGGGTTGCGGCTGGAAGGGCATCCGCTGCGTAAAAACCTCCTGGATAAATTGGTGGTTCATTCCGCTGTGGAGACCCCGGATTGATAAAGGGACTAAGCCGAGAAGAAACGATAATGGATAAATAATACAGCTAGAGGGCAGCAGCTTTCGTTTGTACTCTCTCTCTCTCTCTCTCTCTCTCTCTCTATATATATATATATATATACATATAAAGTTGAAGTCAAAATTGTTAGCCCCCTTTGAATTTTTTTTTCCTTTTTTAAATTTTTTCCCAAATAATGTTTAACAGAGCAAGGAAATTTTCACAGTATGTCTGATAATATTTTGTCTTCTGGAGAAAGTCTCATTTGTTTTATTTCGGCTAGAATAAAAGCAGCTTTAATTTTTTTTTAAACATTCTAACGTCAATATTATTAGCCCCTTTAAGCTATATATTTTTTGATAGTCTACAGAACAAACCATCGTTTTACAATGAATTGCCTAATTACCCTAACCTGCCAAGTTAACCTAATTAACCTAATAATTCTGACTTCAACTGTATATATACCGTTTCACTGTTTCCACAAAAAATATAAACAAATCATTGACACTGAAGACTAAAGTAATGATTCTGAAGATTTATTTTTTAAAAAGCTTATTAATTTAATTTAATCTAATTTAATTTTAATTATTAATTTAATTTAATCTAATTTAATTTTTAAAACACTATTGGTTGGGGTTAGGGAGGATAGAGGGTGGGTCATTCGATCAGTCAGTCATTCGGTCAGTAGACAGTCAGTCGACAACAGCCTCTGGTGGATTTATGTGAGAACATCAGGCTTGAATGGCACTCGAGAGAGAAATTTGAGATCAAAAAAAGCGTACACAGAGGCATCTGCCAGAATAGCGAAAACAAAAACTGCAAAAAACATACCACCTGTGACGTATTTTGCTCTCTCCAGAAATATATATGAGGTACCAAATCAGAATGAGCCTGGGTTGCAAACATGCTCGAGTAGTGTGGACGGCAGTTGTAACTGTAGCAAAACCTCTGCACATTAAAATGAAAACACATTAGTGTAAATGGCACATGAGTTCACCTACAGCTTTGTTACATTCTTGCCATCACTTGCTCACCCTCATGTTGTTCAAAACCTTTATGAGCCTTACGACCTTTATGAAGAAAAAACACTATGGAAGTCAGTTGCTATTGGTTAAAACAATTCTCAAAATACCTTCTTTTGTGCTCAACAGAAAAAGAAGCTGATAAGAAAAAGAAAACCAAATTTTAATTTTTAGGCATACTAACCCTTTAATAAACACTTAAAAAACACATAAATTGTATGACAATGTGCAATAACAGGTTCTTAACTGGTCCTCCTTTTGCTGCTATAACAGCTTTTACCTTTCTCAAAAGAGTTTCCACTTTATGCTGAAAAATGCATAAAGAGATCTAGTGTACATGATTAAATGTAAGAAAGAAAATTCTGCCAGCTCTTATGGATGGGCAATTTGAAACTGGGCTCATATTTTGACAACCTTGAGTACAATTAAGATTTAATGTCCATTCATCATTCAATTATATGTACACCTGAAAGACTGAAAGGGTTCACGTATGCACGAGCGTCCTGTTCTTCTTTAAACTGGAAAAAAAAAAAAGTTTAACTTGGCACCAATAAAAAACTCAATCTGCTGCCTCATACACCATCAGGGATTAAACATGTTGACCTTACGAGGATTGCAGATCTGCCAGGAAACTCTTTATCGTAACAGAACAGCCTTAAGATGTATCAAGGGGCTTTTAAGTAAAGGTGGTGCTTTCAGCAAACAATTTAACGAATTAATCCTGTGTTGAAAACCACAATTCCCTAAACAGCACAAAGACGTCCTACTCAGCATCCTCTAATTGACATGGTGCTGAGATTTTCTAATAAGCTAAGAAAGGGGGGGAAATTGTTGTGCGTTTTAAACCCCTTCTAATGGTGAGGTGTTAAAGTTTGGATTCCATTCTGTCACTTTTCCAAGTGCATGACAGGTCATGTGACTATGATTGATAGCTATGGGATATTTATACTGCTGGAAAGTAGAGCAGGATGAGAGAAGGGCAGATCCGCTAATAATAAAACCTATCAGGTGTGTAAAATATCTGTGGCGCTGAGAGCGGAGACGAGGAAGGAATGTTAAAATGATGGTTTATTGAATTCAGTAGCTGAGTACAAGAGTGTCAGAGCAGAGCTGATCCTTTGACTATGCGAAATAAAAAAAAGACATGGCACGCAGCTGAACACATGGCTTAAAGATGACAATGGAAATGGCTGGAGTGTAATGTCACCTTGAATTTAAGTTCAAATTGGTAAGTATCTGTGACACTTGCACAAACAAAACTATTTCATGTTTTTGCAAGGTCACGCTCATAAATATGCAAATATTATCTAGATTTAAATGTTGTCTGATGAACATGCGGGTCCATGCACAGCTCACTGCCAAGATGATCAGGTGTACTGGGGTGTTGCTACGTGGATGCTTTTCGTTACTAGGGTGTTTATAGGAGATAAAATAATTTAACTATATACATTATTCCTCATATACCATACCATATTAGTAGACAATATCCTAGGAATGACAAAATATTCAGGTTGTGATTACCTAAAATGAACTAGGAAAAAAGGGGGGCAAGTCACTGTGACTGAATCAATAGTTCAACTGATTAGTAAAAGCAGCAGATTCATTCATGAATGAAGTGAATCAATAAGCCATTGAAAAATGACTGCCGATTTGGTCAAATCTGTAGATTCATCCATCAACAAAACACATGTTTGCTTTAAGATGTTCAGCAATTCTGTTGTGACCATTATCTATTGTGAAATATTATTTGTATTTAATAAATGTCACATCTGCAATCATGCTGCAGTTGTGCATAATAACATGTGTCTCACTCAAAGCTTGTTTTTACTCTGCTGTTTTTGCTCAGTGAGAAACTCTGAAGTGTTTCCACACCACTGCCTTATTAGCACCACAATACTGTAGAGAGCGAGTGAAATCTAGGTGCAGATGAAGTGAGGGGTAGAAGTTTTTTGGGCTTATATTTTTAGCCTTTTTTTCTCTCTTATTTTTGGCAGCCCAACTGGAAGGCACACTTGCCATAAGAGCCCTGGGATTTTTGTGGCAATGTGACTAAAAACGAATGAAACTAAGAACGCATTGAGTTAAAGACAATAAAATACTCTTTGAAGGCTTAAATCAGGAAACATTTAGGACAATTTATTAATTAACTACCTATGGGCACCCTGTTTACACATCATTAGAATCGAGTACTGGTGGTGCATAGGCCCTATTGGGATTGCTCCGTTTCTTCCTCTTCTTATTCCGTTCTGCAACGAATTACATTTTTAAGGGTATAAACATGCTCAAAAACAAAGTTTTGCACACACACCAGAAGTGGCGAAAATTTACCTTTGATATGGGCTTCAGAAGTGGGTGTGGCAAAATAGCTCGACAGCGCCACCCATAAACAATCAACAAAGTGCTCGCAAAAGCTACGTTTTACGGACACATTCAAAAATTGGCACACTCATCAACCATGCCAAGAAAAAAATCTGTTCAATTCAATTCACCTTTATTTCTATAGCAATTTTACAATGTAGATTGTGTCAAAGCAGCTTCATATGGAAGATTATAGTAAATTGAAACAGTGTCAGTTCAGTTTTTGTAGTTTTAGTTCAGTTTAGCTCAGTTCAGTGTGGTGTAATGTTCAATACTGAGAGTCTAAACACTGAAGAGCAAATCCATCGATGCACAGCTCTACAGGTCCCGAACCATTCAAAAAAGTGGTGACAGCGGTGAGGAAAAAACTTCTCCAATTGGTGAAAGTGAAGAATTAAAAAACAGAGAGAAACCAGGTTCAGTTGGGCATAACCTATCTCCTAAATTATTGTGCAGAGCTGCAGTTTAGG